CTCTCTCTCTCACACACACACACACACACACACACACACACACTCACACACACTCACACACACACACACACACACACACACACACACACACACACACACACACGGGGTGGAAGAGGGCAAAAAGCTACGACCTGTAGAGGGAGCACAAAAAAGTGAAAAATAGCAAAGCAAAAGAATGTCAAAAAGCGGGGGTGGGGTGCAAGAGGTTTTGATGCCCCGATTGAGCAAAGCAAAAGAATGTCAAAAAGTGGGGGTGGGGGTGCAAGAGGTTTTGATGCCCCGATTGTGTGATCCACCCAATCAAAGCCCGTGTAGCAATCATCCTTCACACACTCAATCCAATACTATAGTAATATTTCAGTAAAGTTTTAAGAAACTACAGTAATAGAGGGAGGGAAAGGACTGTTCCAGAATACAAAAAAATCTCTCAGCAAGAACACAAGTCTTTCACTTTGCCTTACAGCTCCACAAAATGGCTGGCAAGGTGACTACAATATACACTGCAGAGTGATCTTGTACTGCCGCTGTGGTTGGAGTGTTCAGGGATGTTTGGCGCTGTGTATTCCGCATTCACTTGCCTTTTGTTTTGGCAGTGCTGATACTGGTTTGCCCTGTTCTTAATTTCAAAAAATACATATTTTTAATCCTACAAATGCTGGGTGGAATAAGAGGGATCTGTTTTGTTCCTCCATCTCAGGGGTATGATTTGGACCTCTTCTTTTTGGTCCTTGGTATATTTCTCCAAAAAAGGTGCATGTTTTCTTTGGCTCATATCCATAATAAAAGTTCAAGGACTCCTTCACATAATTTTTCCCTGTTGCTGAGTATGCTAAGATCAAGTTTAAATTTTTTTAAAAAAGGAATACTTTCCCTGAAACTCATTCACTAATCCAAATCCATCAATGAAAATACATTATTTCATTGAACACTACTGTGGGGGACCAGCAAACAGAGAAGGGTTGGGTGTTCTTTGAAGTTTGACATTCTCCTTCCATACACAAGATTTTACTGTGTACCTCTTTCTACAAAGTTAGTAAATTTAACTGTATTAGAACAACATTAAAACATTAAAACAAGTACTTCTTTCAATCACTGATGTGAAAAAAAAGGTTTATGAAAGACAAGTGTACAAAATGCATTAAAGTCAGATAGTAGAACATGCTGATTTACCTTTGCATGTATAGTGCACCTTACTTGTACTCTTCTGCACTGGGAAAAAAAAAAATCACAATGCTTAACCAAAGTGAAAGGTATAAAAAGTTGCTTTTGTGCTAGACCTTTGCAACTATTAGCACAAGCAGTTTACAGAGTATCGCTGATAGCTCTGTGTATGTGATCTTTGTTATGATGAGATCATATTGCATCTTTATAAATAGTGCACAAGTTCTGATATCAGAATACATGTTACTATAACAACCTTCTTGTTAAGAGGCATTTGAGGTCATTTAAGGTCTACTTTTGTTAAATGAATGAATAAGAGTTACTGAATATGCTCTCTGAGTGAATTGCAGGGATAATAATTGTGGAAAAAAGAGATGCAGGCTGTCAAGAGTTAGCATTATTTCCATATAAAGCTTTAAAAAGGAGATGTGACTTATAAAAGCAGTCACTCATACAGAATAATAAGAGATGGTTTAATACTGTTTCCCAATAGATGTAAAAGACTGAATTCAGATAGTGAAAGTTTACAACCCATAGGAGGAGATGTTTCTTCAAAATTAATCTGTGGAATATAGATATTAGATACCAATTTAATTTGCAAAAGTTGCTTTCTGTTGTTGGGAAGTGAATACAGTATAGTAAAATGTGAGAGATTTTTTTTAAAGAGTATGTAACTAACTGCACCTATTCACCATTTATCCACAACACAAGATTACCTCTAAAAAAACTGTCGGCAGAGGTTTAAAGGGCAGGCAGCTGGACAAGTTTAAATGGCACTGAATAAGAACTGTAGCTGGGATTGTTATGGGGTAGGGAAGAATGACAAAGCCCTCCAGAACTTTCCAGGAGCTGGAGAGCAGAATAGACTATTTCCTCTGTCAACCATGGCCCAAGCCTATTACTAATCAGAGAGTCTCTGCCACAGTAGCCCAAATTGAGCTAGGCTGAACAAAAATTGAGCCGATAAAAGACTGCTTTCTCTGTTCTTTTAGAACACGGCAGAGTGTGCTTTCCACGCTTGACAACTCTCTGCGAGGAGAGTGTGCTACAGGTAGCAGCAATGGAGAGCAGTTGCAAAGGTCAAAACATCAGTAACAATAGTTTCATCTCTACAATACAGGTTACACGTCAGGAAAGGCAAGTGCCGAGGCACACCCATTTCTTTCGTAACAACCCCATAGCTTCCAATGATCCGCACGGACTGATCTTTGGAAATTCTTTGATGTGTTCTGGCAGCCAGTCTATATTCATGATTTGCTCTTGTGCCTCTTCCTTTTTGGAATTCAGTTTGAACATTAGGCCTTTCTCCATATGAGGCCTTTGTTCCAACACCCTGAGCATTATTTTGCTTGAACAGGAAATTAGAGCAAAGGTCCTATAGTTACTATACTCTTTGGCATCTCCTTTCTTGGAGACTGGAATGTATGCTGAACATTTCCAGTATGTGAGCCATTGTTTTATTTTTCGTATTTGTTGGCATATTTTCGTTAGGATTTTGACAGATTCTGTCTCTGTGGCTTGAAATAGTTTATTGGTATTCCATCTACTCTTGGTGATTTATTCCTTTCTAGCACTTTCAGACCAGCTTTCACTTAGTATGTGTGTGTGTGGTATCACTTCACTTTCTAGAATTGCTCAGTCTTCATTGGAGGATTCCTCTTCAAAGGAACCTGTCATCCTTTTTTGCCTTCTGTATAGGTCTTCAATATTCTGTTTCTACTTTCTATTTTATCCTGGCAAGATACTACATCCTGCTGTTGCTCTTTCAACATTCCTAATCTTGGTTTAATTTCCCATTTGATTTCTTGGATCCTATGGAAGAGATCCTGGGATATATCCCCTTTTTTTCTTTCTTTACACTGATCACGATAACAGTGCTCTGTCTCTTCATGACAGTTGCTGAAAAGTTGCATTTAAGTTTCTGACCCTTCTTCTGTCCCCTTTCCACTTTTGATCTTCTCCTGTCTTCAGCACTTTCATATGTTCCTTCTACTATCCATCTAGGATTATCTCTTCTTTTTGTACAAGCATTGTATTTTCATATTCTTCCTTAAGAATATTCTGGTTTCAATCCACAGTTCTTCTGGTTCATAGTCAATTAAGTTTAGTAATGCAAATCTCTTCTTTATATGGATTTTAAATTAATCAGAAATATTATTTCTCTTATATTTAGATGGTATGAATTTTTTTTGTTCTATTTCATTTTTATTCTAATTTTTGATCTGAACAATTCATGACCATTACCACATTTATTTATTATATACCACATTCTGCTCCTGGCCTGGTTTTGGCAAAAGAATACAGCTTCTCCTTCACCTATTTGCAGTTACATAGTCTATTTGATTTTCTATATTGGCCATCTGGGGGTTTCCATGTGTGCTGTTATCTTGTTCAAACATTCACAGCATATTTACAACAGATCATTGGCCTCCCAGAATTCTATGAATTCTTCTCCTGTTTTGTTTCTGACTCCCAAGACAAATTCTCCAACATTTGGTTCTGCTTTGTTTCCTACTTTTGTGTCCCAGCCATCTGTGGTTATCAGTACAGTGCTTTCTGTTTTGGTTTGTTATTCCTTCTGGATGCTTCCATAAAAGCTTTTGATTTCTTCTTCTTGAGAATCTATAGATCATACTATTGAATGATGTTGCTAAAATTTCCAGTAAGTTTTATATTATCTGGTTAGACTTTACATTATAGCCTCCAAGTTCCAGTACTACACCTTGCCTCAGTATTAGAGTCATTCTGAATTTGTGATTTCCAGAGTAGTTGGAAATTACAAACTAATTGTCCAGATGAAAAGATCTCATTTCTGTCCACTTTAGTTTGCTTGCTTCAAGTACTGCAAAGTTTAAATGTTCAATTTCCTTTATGGTGAAGTGCAGTTGTTTTTATTTTTTTTCTCCATACGTATTTAAGACCCTCTACTTTTTTGTTGTTATTTGCGAGGATATGGCTATAATCTGTCTACATGACACTTTCCTTAAAATCTTCTTTCACACAGCATACGGTAGACAAACTATGCCAGCCCATGATGTTTTATTTACCAGCCATGTTTTCACTCCAGTATTTCTCAAAGCAGCTCAGAATACTGTACGTTGTTACTCCTTGCCTGTTTTTTCTTTACCACATCCCTAAGAGAGACAAATTAGATTCAGGCACAGTGATCAGCCCAGGATAATCCAGGAATCACCATAAAGTGGGGATTCAAACCCAGGTCTGACCACTCTTACATCTGGCAGCTACGGCTACTGACCAAGGCAAAAGTGACTTCAGTGACACAGACTCTTAGTCTTGAGTAGCATCTATCCTGCTTCTCCGAAAATAAACCTAACCTGAAAATAAGCCCTAGTATGATTTTTAAGGATGCTTGTAACATAAGTCCTACCCCAAAAATAAGCCCTAATTAAGTGAAACCCCACCCTCCACCATTGTGCAGCAACCAGAAGATGATGACATGACTGTATTTGAATAAATGTAGATTGTTGTACATGGAAAAAGAAACACCCTCTGAAAATAAGCCCTAATGCATTTTGGAGCAAAAATTAAATTAATATAATTAAATATATTGTCTAATTTTCAGGGAAACACGATAATGCATTTTTAAAAAAGTCTTAAACAGCTGGAGTCTTCAAGAACATACATCTCATGGCTGCTTACTAACAGCGCAAATCTCTACACATAACATGCCCAGAGTAGTGCTGTGACACTAATAGGAGCAGGATAGAAACTGAATCAATCAATCAATGAATAAATACATGTCTATTCAGAAGTAACCCCAATGAATTCAGTGCAATTTACCCAATGTAACCCTGTGTGCTCCCTTAAAATCCTCAGAGGCCATTTTTGGGTCACTTTAAGGACTACATAAGGAGAAGAGTGGAAGGAAAACACAATTTTAAAAACCACCAGCTATTTATGCACATGGATGGGTGCAATCTTGCATTTGTTGTTGTTTTTTAGTCATTAAGTCGTGTCCGACTCTTTGTGACCCCATGGACCAGAGCACGTCAGGCCCTCCTGTTTTCCACTGCCTCCCGGAGCTTGGTCAAATTCATGTTGGTAGCTTCAATGACACTGTCCAACCATCTGTCCTCTGTCGTCCCCTTCTCCTCTTGACCTCACACTTTTCAAACATCAGGGGCTTTTCCAGGGAGTCTTCTCATGAGATGGAGCTTCAGGATCTGTATTTCCAGGGAGCACTCAGGGTTGATTTCCTTCAAAATGGATAGGTTTGTTTTCTTTGCAGTCCAGGGGACTCTCAAGAGTCTCCTCCAGCACCACAATTCAAAAGCATCAATTATTTGGCGGTCAGCCTTCTTTATAGTCTAGCTCTCAGTTCCATACATTGCTACTGGAAGAAACCATAGCTTTGAATATATGGACCTTTTTCGGCAAGGTGAGGTCTCTACTTTTTAAGATGCTGTCTAGGTTTGTCATCCCAAGAAGCAGGTGTCTTTTAATTTTGTGGCTGCTGTCACCATCTGCACTAATCATGGAGCCCAAGAAAGTAAAAGCTGTCACTGCCTCCATATCTTCCCCTTCTATTTCCCAGGAGGTGATGGGACCAGTAGCCATGATCTTAGTTTTTTTGATGTTGAGCTTCAGACCATTTTTGGCACTCTCCTCTTTCACCCTCATTAAGAGGTTCTTTAAGTCCTCACTTTCTGCCATCAGAGTTGCATCATCTGCATATCCGAGGTTGTTGATACAGTGGTGCCCCACATAGAGACGATAATCCGTTCCGAAAAAAT